AGAGAGAGAAAGAAAGAAAGAAACAGCGTGGGCCTTAGGACAGGAAGGCAGGGACGCGGAAGGAAGGAATTCTAAATAGGATAAAAAGGGTTAATCAGAGGGTTAATCAGAACGGGCAAGTTTGGGCGGTGCCTGTGGCTCAAAGGAGTAAGGCACAGGCCCCATATGCTGTAGGTAGTGGGCTCAAACCCAGCCCTGGCCAAAAAATAGAAAATCCAAAATTTGATTTGTTTTCTATTGTTAAAGTTAAAAATTTAAATCTCTTAAGGGACTTGTTAATGTCTGAATTGTACCAACCCTATATAAACAGTGAAATTGGGAGGACAAAGAAGTGAAGGATATCTAAAATTAAACCAGTCCAGGATGTTTTCAGAATAATAAACTGATAATTTGACTGGCTGAAATGCAAAGCAAACCAAACTCTATTGTACTGCTTTGTTCATTCCCTCTTTTATTCATTGTGTTGATCTTCAAATTGTCTAACACTGACACCCACTCCTGCCCAAGCTGGGCAAAAACCCTTGATTTGGGCAATAGGCCTTACCTTGGTGAGACCTGCAAATCAGGTACTGTATTATCATTCCCATCTGATAGCTAAGGAAACTAAATTCCAGAAGCCTTTTGCTATTCAGCCTCCAGTTCCATCAGTCAATCTCCTGGCCTAACTGTCCTCTGGGGCTCTCCTTTGGCCACCACCTCTTCTGTTCCCTGGAGCTCTTCTCCTACTGGACTAGCAAGTCTATCACAATAGGAATTACAGCCTCTCCTTCCTTGGTTAACCAAACAACAAAAATCTGTTCTGACAATTTAGTTCTGGGTATTTGTCAAAGCTTAATTATAATCTTGCTACAGGAGCAAAGCCATTTCTGAAATTTTAAGAGAATGTCTACAAGGCAGCACCTGTGGTTCAGTGGGTAGGACGTCAGCCCCCTATACGGAAGGTGGTGGGTTCAAGCCCAGCCCCAGCCAAACTACAACAGAAATAGCCAGGCGTTGTGGTGGGTGTCTGTAGTCCCAGCTACTTGGGAGGCTGAGGCAAGAGAATCCCCTAAGCCCAGGAGTTGGAGGTTGTTGTGAGCTGTGATGCCATATTATAGCATAGTGACAAAGTGAGACTCTGTCTCTAAAAAAAAAAAAGAGCATGTTTACAGAGAAAAAAGTAGAAATACAAAAAGGTCACTAGATTCTTAACTGATAGCTGGTAGAAAGAGCTAGTTAAATACTCAGTTAAAATTTAAGTTAAATTTAAATTTATCCAAAAATTGCTCATGCTTTATCAAGAACATTTATTTCTTTCTAGAAGAAAGTTATAAATTACTTCAGGTGAAAATGTTCTAGCCCAGATCAAATTTGGGGTAAATTTTTCCTTACATTTGATAATGTGAAAGAAAACTACTTTTCATTTTAAGGTTTGTTTCCTTAAAGCAAACTCAGGAGATAACAAACATGATGAAAGGTGAAGTTTATAATGTTTCAGAATTTTAAAAATCATCTTAGAACCACAATGTTTGGCCTATATAATTCATCTTTTCTATGGATAGTAACCAGAAACCTTTTGAAGTGCAAGACCCTTTCCCATCATCGTTTGCATTCTATGTAAGGTCTGGAATCTGAACTATAGTTTTTTAGCATCTACTATATATTGGGCACTTGACATATATCAACCCATTTATTCTTTATAACAGGCCTAGCATGGTACAGGGTGTTTGTACCCATTTTACAGATGAAGATAATTGAGGGCTCTGAGAAATCAAGTGATTTACTTAAGTTCTCAGTTTTTTTTCATCTGTAAGCTATTGTCTTTCTGGCATATTTTTATCATATTAAAGAAAGGAAACTTTTTTGATTTTAATTTACTTCTTGATTTGAATACTTTGAAATCTAATTTACAGAGCTTCTAAAAGTTCAATGATACATTTCACAAAAGCTTCAATGACTTATCTAGAAAATGAAAGTCCAGATATCCTGACTCTGAAACCTCAGTTGTTTTTGCTACACTACAAAGGAATCAGACTGTTTTGTGTCACACAAGGCCTTTTTGTTCCACCATTTGGAAAAAGGATATACTTCTTAGAACCTCAGAACGATTCTTGCATCACACACTTTATCTATTCTTCAACATTTAAAATTTAGCTTACTTTTTAGCCAGGCACTGTGTGGTGTGCCCATTGTCCCAGCTAATTGGGAGGACAGCAGAGACCAGGAATTAAAAAGCTGCAGTGCTCTCTGATTGTCCTGTGAATAGCCACTGCAAGCAAGACTCCATCACTTAAAAAAAATTATTAACTTATTTTTATTTTTTTAAATGATTTTTTCTTTGATCATAAGAGTAATACATAATTGTTCAATATTTGGAACATGAACAATATCCAAGCCTCCCATAATTCTCCCGCTTAGAAATGACCATAATTTATATATATTTTTCCAACGGAATGCAAACTTTATTTTTTTTTTTTTTTCGCAGTTTTTGGCCAGGGCTGGGTATGAACCCGCCACCTCCAGCATATGGGGCCGGCGCCCTACTCCTTTGAGCCACAGGCACTGCGCCATAATTTATATTTTGGTATGTTTACCTTCAGCCTTTATTTATAAAGCATAAGTATTTTAAGAACTGAAATCCCATTGTACAACGTGTACTTTACTAAAAATATATGCTGTCAACTGTCTAGACTACTTGTTTCACCAGTTGCAGCCCTGTTATCACTTAGACTATCGATGTCTTCCTAGAGTTAAAGAAGAAAAACACTCTGGAAAGCCATATATGGGCTTTATTGTAAACATTTTTTTTTTTCTGAGACCCAATTTGCTACAGAGCTCTGAATTATCTGATATCTCTCCCAAAATTACAGCTCTTGGTATCAGAGATGAGGAAAAAGAACCTTGCTCAGTATGATGCTTTTGCTTTGCTTGCATGGACTGCATTTCTTCGTTTTTGTTTTTTCAAAATTAAAACATGGTTTTAAAATTGGTAACAAAAATTACAACACTTATCATCCTGAATCCTTAGTTTTAATGAACTGATGAGTTTGACAAGAGTTATTTCATTTTCTAAGTTTAGCTCTAAAGGAAACACCTGCATCTAAGATAAAACCCTGGTTTCTGGGAGAGAGCACAGGTGCTTGGCAACATGCTGGCAGAGAGCTGTGTGTCTTCTCCCTGCCTCCCCTGAGTCCTCTCTTCTTAGCTCTGCAGAGCACTGTCCCTCTGCCTACGCGGTTGTTCTTCTGTCATATATTCTGTCACCCCAATTTGTCATTCTCTGGACCCATCTTAGCCACTTGCTGATTGATGAAACTTGATCACCAGGAAACTAACCTGAATAGCTTAGAACTCTGTTCTTACCTTGGCAGCAGTCTCAGTTTCTATTCATTGGGATAATGCAAAAAAAAAAAAAACCTAACAAAAATTAAGGTTTTGTTTAAATATTCATTTCATTTATTTATTTTTTGAGACAGAGTTTTACTCTGTCACCCTGGGTAGAGTGCCATGGCATTGTAGCTCACAGCAAACTCCAACTCTTGGGCTTGAGAAATCCTCTTGCCTCAGCTTCTTGAGTTGCTGGGACTACTGGCACTCACCACTGATTTCAATATTTTAAAACAAATTTGAATTTTATTCACCCATATGGTATTCACAAACTTCTAAGAAATAATAGTTCACGGGCGGGGGCACTGGCCCCATATACCAAGGGTGGCGGGTTTAAACCCAGCCCCGGCCAAACTGCAACAAAAAAATAGCCTGGTGTTGTGGTGGGCGCCTGTGGTCCCAGCTACTCGGGAGGGTGAGGCAAGAGAATCACATAAGCCCAGGAGTTGGAGGTTACTGTGAGCTGTGATGCCAAGGTACTCTATCAAGGATGATAAAGTGAGACTCTGTCTCTACCAAAAAAAAAATAGTTCATAGATATGAGGAACATTATTTAATTTATAGACAATGCTCAGCATACTTTATTTCTGGAGCGGAGGAGACAGGATCTTACTCTGTTAGCCCAGGCTAGAGAGCAATGGGGTATTGTAGCCCACTGCAACCTCAAACTCCTGGGCCGAAGCCATCCTACTGTCTCAGCTTCTGAGTAGCTGGGACTACAGGTGTGCACCATGATGCCTGGCTAATTTTTCTATTTTTTGTAGGAGTGGTGGGGTATCTTGCTCTTGCTCAGGCTGGTCTTTAACTCCTGAGCTCAAACCACCATCCAGCCTCAGCCTCCCAGAGTGCTAGGATGACAGGTGTGAGTTGCTGCACCTGGCTGAATTATGGAACTTCTCAACAGTAATTCAGTAGACATGAGGCACTTTCAGCAATATTATTATTATTATTATTATTATTTGAGACAGAGTCTCACTATGTCACCCTTGGAAGAGTGCCATGGCATCACAGCTCATACATAGCCACCTCAGATTCGTGGGCTTAAGCGATCTCTTGCCTCAGCCTCCCAAGGAGTTGTGATTACAGGCACCCGCCATAATGCCCAGATATTTTTTGTTGCAGTTGTCATTGTTGTCTAGCTGGCCAGGGCTGGGTTCAAACCTGCCAGCCTGGATGTATGTGACTGGCGCCGTAACCACTGTGCTACAAGTGCCAAGCCTCAGCAATATTATTTTTGTCTTTAGAACAATCAACACTGTGATGCTAAC